TGTGGAGTTTCACTCTCATTGCCCAGGCAAGGGATGCCATCTCGGCTCACCGCAACCTCCGCCTCCTGGGTTCAAGCGTTTCTCCTGCCTCAGCCTCCTAAGCAGCTGGGATTATAGGCATGGGCCACCAGACCCGACTAACACTGTATTTTTAGTAGAGTTTCTCTCTCCATGTGGGTCAGGCTGGTCTTGAACTCCTGACCTGAGGTCATCTGCCCACCTTGGCCTCCCAAAATGCTAGGATTACAGGTGGGAACCACCCATGCCTGGCCCAGCCTTGTAGTCTTAAATTTCCCTTGCAATTTCTTTTCCTTTTTTTAATCTAATTTTTCCCTCGTATTCGTTTTTCCTGAGATCCCTGTTCTGGGCAATCTCTCCTCTGACCCAGTGGCTGCTTAGAAGTGGTTGTCTTCTACTCTAACAGACTATTCCAAAAGGAAAAAAATCCCCAACATCTCCCGTCCCATCATCTTGCAGCCCCAGCTCAGGAAATGCTGTGACATGAGGTGGCCACAATCAGAGACCTGGGTTTTAGGGCGGTTGTCCACATGATGGCAGGTAGTGGCCTCAGCTGTGTGTGCCCGGTATACCTCAACTGGCCACACAGTCACTAAACTTAAATACTCAGTTCTTCCCTTTCACCAGCTTCGTCTCAAGTGCTCAGGGGCCACACACAGCTACTGGCCAACGTGGAAAATTCCCAACATCACAGAAAGTCCGACTGGATGGCGCTCATTAGGATATGTCGCTGGGAGCAGTGGCTCACGCCTGTAATCCCAGCACTCTGGGAGATCAGGAGTTCGAGACCAGCCTGGCCACCTTGGCAAAAGCCCGTCTCTACTAAAAATACAAAAATTAGCTGGGTGTGGTGGTGGGCACATATAATCCCAGCTACTCAGGGGGCTGAGGTAGGGAGAACTGCTTGAACCTTGGAGGTGGAGGCTGCAGTGAACCAAGATCATGCCACTGTACCCTAGCCTGGGCTACAGAGTGCGACTCCATCTCAAAAAATAAAATAAAATAAAAATAAAAGTAGTAACGCCTTAAGCTGGCTAACACGGTGAAACCCCGCCTCTACTAAAAATAAAAAAAAAACTATCTGGGCATGGTGGTGCACACCTGTAATCCCAGCGACGCAGGAGGCTGAGCTTGCGGTGAGCTGAGAGGGCACCACGGCACTCCAGCCTGGCAACAGAGCAAGACTCCATCTCAAAAAAACAAAGCAAAGAGGAAGGTGATGCCTCAACAAGACAAGCCACGCCACGGATTGCTGGCCGTCCCCAAACGCTGGCAGAGGCAGGAGGGACCATCTGCTCGAGCCTCTGGAGACTTCAGGTCTGCAGACACCGTGGTTTCAGACTTCTGGGCTCTAGTGCTGAGAAAGAGTGAATTTCGACCACATGAGCGGCCGGGTTTAGGACACTCCGCTATGGCCCCAGGCGGATCACAAAAGCGCCCAGTTACAGTGCCCGCTCTCTGCTGAGGGAATTAGGATTAGGGGGCTTGTGACCTTGGAGTTAAAATACACGACTCTCATCCTCGGGATCCCAGAGTTTAGTACACCTGCGGCAACGGTGAACACGGCGGCAGGCCACCTCGGCCTCGTGCGAAGGGCACTGCTGCCTGCACTTCCACCACGAACTGGTCTTAATGTTATGAAAACATCCCAGGTTCACCCAAACATTAGACACTCTTTTACTGCTGTTTCTCAAATTAGGGCTGAAGAATCATGAGGTGGGAGAATGCTGGGTACGTTTTCTCCCTTGAAAGGGTTTGAAAACAACACCCTCATTTTTTTTTTTTTTTGAGACGGAGTTTCACTCATGTTACCCAGGCTGGAGTGCAATGGCGCGATCTCGGCTCACCGCAATCTCCGCCTCCTGGGTTCAGGCAATTCTCCTGCCTCAGCCTCCTGAGTCGCTGGGATTACAGGCATGCGCCACCATGCGCCCAGCTACTTTTTTGTAGTTTTAGTAGAGACCGGGTTTCACCATGTTGACCAGGATGGTCTCGATCTCTTGACCTCGTGATCCACCCACCTCAGCCTCCCAAAGTGCTGGGATAATAGGCGTGAGCCACCGCGCCCCGCAACACCACCCTCCTAAACCACCAGCGGGTCAGAGGAGCGTGCAGCGGCTCACGTCTGTGATCCCGGCACTTTGGGAGGCCGAGGCCCGACCATCGCCAGAGGTGAGTTCGAGACCAGCCCGGACAACACGATGAAGCGCCATCTCTACTAAAAATATAAAAATTAGCCAGGCGTGGTGGTACATACCTGGGTTCCAGCTACCCGGGAGGCTGAGGAAGGAGAGCTGCCTGAACTCGGGAGGTGGAGGTTGCAGTGAGCCAAGATCACGGCACTGCACTGCAGCCTGGGTGGCAGAGCGAGGCTCTGTCTCAAAAAAAAAAGGAAACCAAAAAACTGCAAGGGAAATTAGAGAATGCTCCAGATGAAGCACAGAGAAGACACGGGGGTGGGGGGGGCAGGGGGCAGCTAAAGCTGTGCTCAGGGGGAAAGTGACTGTGGAGAACACCCACGTCCACAAAGGTCACGGCACAGCAGTCCCACCTTCCACCTCGGGAGACCAGAACAGAGCCAAGTCAACCCCAACACCAAAGCCTCCTCCTGAGGAGGGGTCTGCAGGCTGCTCCCAGGGGCCGAGAGCACCCCTTTCCCAGGGGGTTCATGAGGCCTGAGAAGGGCCGGAAGGAAATGCGTGAAGACAGCAGCAGGATCCCTCCCTACTTTTTGGGTCGCTTTCAAAATAAGTTTGCGAGTCACACGTGATTTGTGCTTGAAGAGCCTAAAAGGATTATTAAGACACAAAACAAAGAGGTCCGGTCCACGTGAGGGCGAGTCCCCGGCTCCGGCTCCCGCCGCACTCACCTGCCGCGCCCAGCCCAGCATCACGGTGTTGTACATGTCCAGCGTGAGCAGACTCTGACTCTTCCCCTTGCTGTGGTAGGTGACCAGCAAGTGGTGGGCGAGGGACTGGTGGCCAGTGAGCAGGCAGCACTTGAGGAAGGCCAGGATCTTCTGCTGCCTACTGGTGAGCCGGGTCTTCAGCTGCTGCCCCTGCTTCTTGTCCAGGCTCAGCTTCCGAGGGGCCTCCTGCAGCACCCGGGCCAGCTGCTCCTCCCAGGGGCTCCCGGGGGCCTCTTGCACGCAGCCCTGCAGGCAGGTGGTCAGCTGCTTGCTCAGGAGCCGGGGCTCCACATACAGGCGCTTGAGCTCCGACGTGAAGCCCGGGTTCTGGGCCTGCCTCTGCAGCTGCTTCTCCAAACGCTGCCTGCGCATCTCCCGGATGCGCTTATCCTTGTCCAGTTTCTTTGCCCAGTGGACAAAGAGCACTGGGGTGGTGCCCTCGGCCCCTGTCTGGACCTTCGTTGGGGGCTGGCAGCCGCCATCTCCGCTGCCGTGTTCTGGGAGCCGCGCCACATCCACCCTGTTCACTGTCACCTCTGACACGCTCTCAGCCTGCAGCTGCCGCACCCGCGCCTGGAGCACTGTAAGGGGCAGAGGGCGAAGATGTGAGGGGCCCCTACGCAAGCACCGACCTCTCCACACCCCGAGCTGGGCCAGGACGTACAGGCGGCTGACCTCACTGGGTCCTGAGGTGTGGATTCCACGTACCCGCCGATGACAACGTCCTAAGGTCACCTCGCCCCTTTCCAGACACACGCACCCCACCGCCCTGCCCACGCCTCTCTACCCGAGCTGCCGAACTCAGCAGCCCAAACAAACTCCCACCAGAATCCGCAGCACGCCTCCCGGTCACCGGCCACTCCAACCGCCCAGGTGCTCAGGCCTGGAGCCCCAGTGTCTCTGTACCCTCCCTCCACCGCTCCTCAGGACGTCCTCCAAGCTTGCCTCCAAAATGGATCCACATGGTCCCTCGGCCCCCACCTCACCTGCTCCTGCCCCTCTCGCTCACTCCAGCCCTGACGGTCCCACGGTCCGGCTCAAGCCGCCGCACAGGCTCCCAGGACCCCGAACAGCCTGCTTCCTCGCGCTGCCTCAGAAAGGCCCTCAGCTGGTGGAGGCCACCCCGCACACGCTCCTAGGCTCCCAAAGTCTACACTGATGGGCGCCGGGTTAGCAAAAGCTGAGCCACTGCTCCCAGTGGAACATAAGACTCCTGCTCATACCGCCTCAGGTCACGTTTTTCCCAACCAATCAAAGCATAAGCATTTTATGTCTGTTTAAGGAAGACTTACCGCAAATCTATTGCGGGCTGGGCACTGCAGCTCACGCCTGCAACCCAGCACTCTGGGAGACCGAGGCAGGAAGATCACCTAAGGTCAGGAGTTCGAGAACAGCCTGGCTAACATGGCGAAACCCCATGTCTACTAAAAATCCAAAACATTAGCCGGGCGTGGCTACTTGGGGGCAGAAACTGCTTTAACCCAGGAAGCGGAGGCTGCAGTGAGCCAAGATCGTACCACCGTGCCCCAGCATGGGCAACAGTGCGAGACCCCATCTCAAAAAAAAAAAAAAAGTGTTGAAATGGGCCAGGTGGAGGGCCATGCACCTGTGGTCCCAGCTACTCCAGAGGCTGAGGTGAGACAATCACTGAGTCTAGCAGCTCCCGGCAGCTGCGAACCATGATCACGCCACCAGGCTGCAGCCTGAGACGGAGCAAGACCCTGTCTCAAAACAAAGATTGCTGAGCCAAGGGTGGTGGTTCATGCCTGTCATCCCAGCACTTTGGGAGGCCAACATGGGCAGATCACCTGAGGTCAGGAGTTCGGGACCAGCTTGACCAACATGAAGAAACCCCGTCTCTACTAAAAATACAAAAAACTAGCTAGGTGTGGTGGCGGGAACCTATAATCCCAGCTACTCAGGAGGTGAGGCAGGAGAATCGCTTGAACCTGGGAGG